GGCAGCACATTAAGAAGCATATATTTTTCCTTGATGTTACTCGAAGTTTAAGGTTTACGTGAACACAAAATGGCAACTATTTAAGGTAAAACAGACTGGAAATATGTTGTTAGGCTGTCGATCTGTAGAAAGGGTAGATAGTGGATGTCAGTAGAATTTCATATAACCTAAGACTCGGTTCTTTCATTCCTTAATTAAACTCTTGATGATCAAGACTGGTGAGTAGGTTAAAATTATTTTAATATTCCTTACCGGTTCTACAAATTTCAAACGTATATCCATATTTTTACAAACTGACACCCTTTCGCTATCATGTGTGCGAAAAAAGAAGTGGTAAGAAGGCCATCGGTTTTTTCGGGAGGGAAGGGGAGCAGGGAATCGAGTGATGTGACGGCATCTGAAAGAATCAAGATCATATTGTGAAATCAATCTGAATGATCGTTTCGACTTTGAATCCGGTTCATCAAAAAACTCAGAAAGGATAATTACACAAACCTACCACAATTACTGGAGTAATGCAATGGAATTCTGGAGTGAAACAGAGACCAGCTTTTTGGAAACAAAATAGCTTGTACAAGGCAAGAACAAGAAAAGCTTGCATGAATGAATTAATACTAACCAACGCGCTTAGATCCTTATGAATGGTCTCATTAGTGTAATCTGCTTCGTTTTGAAACCTTCCGTCTGAATCGCAACTAGTATTTACAGTGATTATTTAGTTCAACCCTTGAAATATTCGTATTTAATGGGTACTTTTCACAAACAAAAAACTGTACACAAAAACTGCATTTGACTTCTCAAACCATAAATAAAGCTGTGGTGTATGTCCACATATATGAAGCAGAATGGTAATTATCGTTTATTGGGCATGGATTGCAATCCCGAGGTTGATACGTGGGAATAATCTTTTGCATGCACCACCGAGGAAGAATATTTACCTTCCACTCGCTCATGCGTTTGTAAAATGGTAGCCTGCATGGTACTTGGTTCAAAGTTTGTAAAACTATTTTCCGGGTGCTGTGATGGTACTTGAGAGCACCTTCCAGTCCCATAACTATTGCGAGGTTGTCCTGAGTACCTTGCTGCACGTTCTGGTCGTGTGCTGGAACTTCGATTTGTGAACCTTCTCATTTCGTTGTTTTCTGTATTATTCGGTCTAGTGGGCGGTATAATGCTCATATGACGAACCAATCCATAGGCGTACAATGTTTGTCTCAAACCAACAATTTTGTTAGTCGGAGGACCACCGCCCAAAGCACCGGTGGTGCATGCGTTATCTGAAGCATCTTTGGCCAAATTATCCGCCAACCAACGGGGGATGTAGACACAATGCAGTCCGTTGTCGCGGACGATCCGGAATGGACAAAGCATCTGAGTGAATTGACGTCGGAACCGACGACTGAAAATATAGTACGGAATCAAATTAATTGCCGAATTGACCACAATGAGCAGATTTCCAATCTCGTTCAGCAGAAACCAAAATAGTTTCTGTGTTTCCTTTGGTGGTATTACTGCCCAACTGATGTGACTGATAGCTGCAGGAATCTGAAATAGGACAAATATGGGTAGATTTTCATTAAAACCGAAAAATGTTTTTAACGCACAAAATTTATTGACGATGAAACAACAGTAGGCTCTTAGTTTGATTGAAATCAGAAAATATGCCATCCACACAAATAGTAAGCCTTGCACTGCTGTGATTCAGTATTTTTGGGATTCTACACTTCATTAGCTGTGCTATCATTCGGTGGAGAAAAAGAAAGAGCAGCAGTAAAAGGCTGACGGAACATTACCCAGATAAGGTTGAAAGCTGATGAAGGGGTATAGGTACAAGATCGTCAACAGTTACGACATGCAGATAAACCATCTCTCAATGGTGATAAACAAGGGACGTTTCAAGGTTGCTAAAATGAACGAGCGCCCAACGGAGTCCCCGTACCGGAAGCGTGAACTGCATTGACCAAAGTTCTTGTAGCTATCTGATATATCAGAATATTCTGACCTTTCTTGGCGCTTCCTTGATCACTGTTTTCCTCAGAACCGGTGACGTGTATAATAATACGATAGTTCACCCTTCACTAATAAGTGCATCAAAAATCTGTTATCCACATCGTTTAGAGTAAGGCAATGTTTACAGCCTCATGTTTCAATGCAGATTTCTGTCTCCCTCTAGACATGCCGCGATTCTGCGGAAATGTGGAAATCAGGTTTATGTGATGTTTGATTTAGGGCATTTACTTGAAAAATGATATCAAATTATAGGTTCCTCTTTCACTTTATGACCCATTTTTTTCATTCGGTGGAAGCACTATAAATTTGTTTTCCAGAGATTTTGTTCATGTTGCATGTCTTTTCTGACAGCTTGGATCATTCAAAAATCAGAATTACTGTTGGGCCCGATCGAATGTCAACTTATTCAGGGGAATCAGCAAAACCGACAGGTTCCTCAATCGCTAATCAAATCAACTAGGTTGTGTCCAGATAAACCACATTTCGGGACCGAGGACTTCAATTGTGACCCACTTAGCCGGACGAAAGTGTTCAAATGTAGTCACTTCTCTGAAAAGCCAAGATGACCCTTGAAGAGGAAGGGATAACTCCAGACCTATTGAAAAGCTGACTGTGAACTCCGATCGACCCGCCGCACTCTCTTTGTCACAATTGTGTTTCCAAAACACTGAACAATTCAAGTTTAGTCCTTATTCCCAACGCGAAGACCATAGGGGCATCAGCCTCATTGAGATCTCGACCAAATTTTTTCCTGTGATACTACTTCATCGCTTGTAAAGAACCGAGGGGAGTTTCGCGAAGGAAGAGATCGTGATAAACAATTATTCACATTGCGTAATAACCTGGAGCTACATTTCAAGTTCCTACCATTCACTATAGCGTGTTGCATCGACTCGCACGCTGCTCTTGTCACTAGCGATAAAGAATCTTTATGGTGCATATTAGGCTCCAAAGACTGTGCGAGAAATTAATCTTGCTTTTAAAGCCATGCTATTTAGTTACCCGGATACGTGTATGTATCTACGTATAATAAGTAGCTGAGCTGAAATTCAGGCTCTAAAGTCAGACAAGGCTGTTACCTCTCACCGGTGGTGTTGAACTACATCATATGGATAATGCAACATGCACTCATCGACTACCCCAGGAGTGCAGCTTGACCCTAATACATGAATCGCAAACCTCGAGTTTGTAGGCTATGTTGTCTTACCTGGGAACACAATGGAGAACCTCTAGCCTGTCATTAGTTGAATCAACGACCTTGCTCGGACCATTGGGATAGAGTTCAATATGTCGAAAAGCAAGAAACGTAGGACGGAAACTAATCAATCCCTCTGGATCAGGGGAGATTCTATGGAAACGACTCAATTTTTCAAAAATCTTGGTTTGTATTGTCAGAGTGAACAGCGAGGCTTGAGATCGAGCTAACACAACTCCCCAACAGCTCCTCAGAACGTTTAGCTTTTACCAGGCTTCCGTTAGCCTGCTCCTCTCTTACGGTTGGGAAAACCAACCGTGAGTAGTAAAAGATACAAGGAAGGTAGAGATTTTCGACCATCGGTGTTCATGTCATACTTCGAGAGTAACTTGGAAAGACGGGTTTCCAATGATGAAATTTTACGACATCGAGGAACGTTTCAAATTTTACAACGACATCACCATCTGTGGTATGACCACATACCTCGAAGGCCCGACACTCGACTGTCACTTCTGGCTCTAGCTCCTACAGCCTGTCATTTGTTACCAGCTCGGTGGTTAGTTGAAGACTTGGAGTTGTACAACCAGAGTGGATTTGTGACAATTGACTCTCCAATCGCTATACGATACTGGTACGACAATGGTGATCAGACGGTTCAGGTTGTTTGCTTATTGCCTCCGAGGATGTGTTCCTGTCTTACCACCACACCTGACTTTCCCCACTTTCTGCGTTGTGTGGCAACTCTGTTCAGTCACCTCCTCCTTACTCAAGAATTTATCGATGTAACGTCAATTGAGGAAGGTTAAAAAAGAAAGAATAAAAGTAACTGGAACCATTACTGAGTTTTCACCAACCTTCCGGCCGACAGACACTTGTGGGCTGGGATCATCAGAGGTACCAAAAAAGTCAACCCATCCTAACATAGGAGTTAGTCGCTTAAAGATAAGTGTTTAAAATAATCTAGTTGACTTTTCTCGTATAAGTAGTAGTATCGCTTACTTTCATTCCTGAATCACTGTAGATGATCATTTATTCTTATCCTTATTTAGATGATCTCCAATAGCGGGGAATTTTTCTCTTTTCGCGAACGCAGTGGAGTTCTACCAATTATTTCTTATCACGTATTAAACCGGGTAAATCTGAAAATCAAAAGCTGTCTTATCGCCACGAATTTTTTATATCCCGTCGTCGTTCTATGCACAATGTTTGCCAATTCCGTGCGTAATCGGTTTAGGTGTTCACACAGTGAACTTCCTGGATGCAAAACCAAACATCCTTCCAGGTGTGAAGTTGCTGTCCTAAAACGTCCCTTAAATCAGATGTGCGTTACATCCATAATTTACAGTCATCTTCGCTCTCTATCAGGGAGCTTGACGACTTCAGCAATCCCGCTCGCGGGTATACTTCAAGAAAGTCTATCATAACCCGAGATTGAGAACGACGAAGTGGAAATAGATGGCTACGGTATCTTCCATGACGATCGTCCAACAAATTTCTACAATCGGCGTGATAGAGTAGCAACTTACGCCAAGTCGTTAAGTCACCAAATTTTGACCCGGAAGTCTCGGGTTCGAACCGCTCAACCGCCGCCCGTCTTCCTTTTTTCTGTATTTTTTCAGGCTGCCTTTGTATTGCCACGGCCCCCTTCCTATAAGTTGACCATATAGTTTTAGATTCAATAAATGCAAGAGGAATTAGGAAGACATTTAGTCATTTATAAATGGTGCCCAATTATATTCCTTCATTTCAGTTTAACACAAAACTTCTCACGCAGTACAAGCCCGGTTTCCTTAGGATGGTTTTTATATAATTCTGGTGAATGCTTACGTTGTCCTTGACACCAGCGCTTCTGATATTGCAGTTTTTTTACCCACTTTCGACTTACTTATTCACCGTTGTCGAAGACTATAAATTATTTCTGGAGATTTTAACCGTCTTATGACCTTTCCCAATCGACTTGGTACCATGCTTGAGGGTTTTAGTTTTCAGGAACCTTGACAGATATGCCACTGAAAAGTAAGTTCAAATTAGCCCATCTGATCATTGTGTTATTTAAGCTCAACCCAAGATATACAGTAAAATGTCATCCGAGCTCCTGAATGAATGTGCTGAGTTATCTTCTGGGCCCATTGCTGACATGTTTAGTTGATTTATATCCTCAGGAATGATCCCCAAAACTGTAGCTTGTTATGATTATCCTGTTTCCAAGAAAAATTCCATTAAACACTGCACTTTTTCTTGCACAACTCCTTACTGGTCTTGGAGAACGTGATACTCAAATGAGTGCTACAACTAATAGGTCCTAATAACCCTTCTTAGTTGGCTCAAAAGTCTTCTTTAATGATGCTGTGGCTCGTGTTGTGCATTCTATGGCGTCTCCTTGGGATTGAAAGATTGGTCTTTTTTGATTGCGGAAAACAAAGATCGCTTACTTCAACTCTGTGCGGACCACGGGTTGTTCCTGTCAAGCACAAACTTTTCCCACAGGAAAATAAACCGCTTTACATAGAAACCGCTTACCTCTTCACAGCGCTGGAACCAAATCGACCACATCGCCATCAGTTTCCGCTGGACGGGGTCAATTCAGAACTGCCGTTCTTACTGGTCAACAACTATGGTTACTCACTACGCTTTTCTACGAGCCAAATTCTCCTTACGCCCCGCAAAAACCGCAATAAATCTACCGACAACGGATAACCACATGCAACATCGGCGATTGCTGCAGATCGGTCTTCGAAGCGTAAATCTCTGATCACCAGTTCAACCACCAGCCAAAGGACTCAATGCACAATGGAAGCAAATCAAGAACGCTGTACAATTATCGATAAAAACAACATCAGACCCTGGCGCAGGCTCAAAAAAAGTGGTGGATCTTGTCGGCCTCGGCTGTCCTGCAGAACGGCTGCCGAACCCATTCTCCTGATGTCACACATGACAGAGCGCACAAATAGTTGAAACGCCAGCCCATCAAGAACCTGAGGGGTGATCGCACGAAAAGGTGGATAATAAATTGTAAAGAGATAGAGAAAGCTGCGGTCAGCGGTAAAAGTCACGAACTTTTCCACCTAATCAGGAATACGGGCCCAAGGAAAACAGGTGTAAGTGAGGTAATTAAGGAATCCGATGGCACACTGATTCACGATCAGCAACGCCGTCTTGATCGATGGGCTGAACAATTTGAGGCTCAGTTTAACTGGCCCCCATCGACCTCTGACGTATTACCCTCCACCTTGACTGAGCAGATACTACCAGTTGATGCCCGTTCCCCATCTGAAATGGAGGTTTCCCGGGAAATAAGCGATCTCAAAATGTATAAGGCCTCCGGCCCAGAAGGGCTTTT